CAATTAACCAAATTAACCAAGAAATTAAGCGGAAGCAAACACAAAAGAAACAAGGAGGATAAAACCAAACCTAGTCAAGGATTTTTCAAAATCAAATCAAAGTTATCTAAATTGTATGAGAAAATTGCTAATCAAAGAGCCGATAATGCTTATCAGTTAGTCAATTATTTTTTAAATAATTATGATTTGATAGCCGTTGAAAAATTAGAGATTAAGAAAATGATTGAATGTCGGGGCAAGTATCAAAACTTACCCAAGAGTATTAATGATGCTGGATGAAGATTGTTTTTGAGTTTCCTTGCTTGAAAAGTGGTAATAACTGGCAAGCAAGTAGTTGAAGTGAACCCTAGAAATACAAGCAAAAGATGTTTTGGTTGTGGAAAAGTTAAAAAAGATTTAGAATTAAAAGACAGAATATTTGTTTGTGTTTGTGGATATGAAGCAGACCGAGATGTTAACGCTGCTAAAAATATCCTTTGAAAAACCCAAGCAACGGAGCAGGAACTGTCTTCGTTAGACGAGAACATGACTTCGGTCTCTTCGTTAGAACCTCGGCGAGGAAGCCCCCATCCTCAAACTCGTAAGAGTTAGGTAGGGGTAGTTCACAATTACAGTATAACTTATAAGAGAATGTTTTTTTGTTTCTAAATTACTTATTATTCTCTAATCTTAATTTAGTTTTCTTTCACCGAGATTTATTATAATTCGGATTCTCTAATAATTTTTTATAATAATAATATTTAGAATAGTTGTCAAAATATTTTTTATATTTTTGTCGCCGTTCTTTTTGTAAAACTTTAATTTCTTCCGGAGTTCTAAAAATTTTTGGTCTTCCTACCATTTTTTACTTCTTCTTTGTCTAATTTTGCTTTGGTTTTCCCTCCAATAATACTCCGCATTTCAGCATGTTTACGAGCAAAGAACCCTGCTTTTTGTTTAGCAATTCGAACTTCTTGTTCTTTTTCCTTTAAAAGGAGAGTTAAGTTTATTATTTTTTTATTTTGACTTTCTTGATTGATTATTTTTGGCATATCTTTTTTATATATATTTATTTCATTCCTT